TTTGCTAAAAAAAGAAAGACATTATAAGGAGAGTAAGGAGTAATTTTAGTATGAAATATAATGGGTGTTTTTTTTTAATTTGGTGTCAAAGCTAGCCATGAACGTTTAATTGTGAACAAACCATGAAATTGAAAATTATTAATCTGACATTTGACATTTCGCATTGCTAAAAAAAAAGAACAGACAAAAATAATAAAAATCCACATAAAACAAACGTAAAAAAGATGATTGAAAAAAAAATAAATGAGTAAAATATTTGGATAAGAATGTGTTTAAAAAAGCAGAAAAAATGAGGAAAAACGGAAAAAATTAAAATAAGATGATTTATAATAAGTACAAAAAAATTTATTACTTTTGAAGAAACGTAGAAACAAAAAAAAAAACGCAAAAAACTGAACAAAATAGAAGAATTGAAAATACACAAAGGAATATAAAACCAAAGAAAGACATTCCTAAAATTAGCTTAGAATTATAAAAAGATAAAAAATGGTGAGAATATGAGTAAAACGAAGAGAAAAATAAAAAATAAAAAGCAGAACAAGAACAATATAAAAAAGACAAAAATTGTATGGAGAAAGACAAGAAAAAGTAAATAATAAAGAAAAATAAAAATGTAATAATGAGTTACAAAAAGAGAAAAATCAAATTAATTAAATTAATTAAAAAATGGTGTAGGAGATGAACTGACGAAGGAAAAGAATGATAGAAACCAAAGGGAAACAAATAGATTAAAAAAGAAAAAATGACTAAAGGTTTTGCTAAAAAAAAAGAAGAAAGAAATTATAAGAGATAGTAAATTTAGTATAAAATATAATTTTGGCGTCCAAGTTAGCCATGAACGTTTAATTGTGAACAAACCATTAAAATTATTAATTTGAGATTTGACATCTCGCATTGCTAAAAAAAATAAGAACAAGACAGACAAGAATAATAAAACAAAGAAATAAATGAGTAAGAAGTATAAGAAAGGAAGTATAAGGAAAAACGGGAAGAATTAAAATAAGATGATTTATAAAAAGTACAAAAAAATTTATTACTTTTGAAGAAACGTAGAAACAAGGAAAAACCGTAAAAACCGAACAAAAAAAAAGAATAGTAATAATGAGAATATGAATAGAACGAAGAGAAAAATAAAAAGCAAAACAAGAACAATGCAAAAAAGACAAAAATTATATAGAGAAAGATAAGAAAAAGTTGACAATAAAGAAAAATAAAAATGTAATAATGAGTTACAAAGAAGAGAGAGAAAAGTAAAAAGAAGTAGATTTAAAACTCAGAAAAAAATAGAATCGAAAGCTTGAGTTAGTTAAATCGGAAAAAAAGATTCTCAAAAAAAAGAAAAAACAATATCAAAGCTGACGAAGAAAGTATATAAAACAAGAAATAAGAAAATATGATGAGAAACAAAAATGATGCGACTTTTCCTTTCTTTAAATTTATTACGAAAATCAAGAAAAAAAGTTATTTTTTTTTCAAAAATGGAAACAAAATCTCTTCGCCCACTGGAACCTTGACAATGACAATCCGAAACTGTCTAATCTCGAGCTTATCAAAATCCCTTAGTTCTTCCCCTCAATTCTCAAGCGATTTAAAGCACTTGACCCGGATTTTCTTTTTTCCTTCTATGTGCATTGCCCAATTGGGGCCAAATCTGGTACATATCGTGCACAAAACGCGTACGGATGAACTCCGACCCCAACCTCTCTTATCTCACTCCGAGATAGCCGACAATTTCTAAACAATTACGTGAGTTGTGGCTTGATTTATCGATTTGTTTTCAACAGAAGTAAACACACAGGAGGGCCGATAATAACAGTATTGGACTATTTTTGGATTATTTAAATGCCAACAGGAAGGCTTAAAAAATTGTCATGAAAAACCGGTTCTTCGTAAACAAAACACATATCCATTTTTCTTTGTGATTAATTGACCATCAATTATGGTAATAAGCAAGTGGAAAAATACGATTTTTTTAATAATTGGGCGGAAAAAATCAAGTCACTGTTGCACGGGTGATTCATTCTATCAAAAAATCAATTAATGTGCGATTGTAATTAGCAATTAATTAGACAATACTATAACAATAAATAAATATTTACATTTTTAAGTGCCATAAATTGTAAAATAAATAAATTCATTAGAAGCGAAATGACTTTTCAATCGGTTGCATTTATGACAGTTTATTTATTTCCTGACGTCACCTCATTGCGTCCATAAAATACTATAATGAGATAATTAACAAAAACAATTGCTTTTTATCATTTCCTACGTAGTTTTCTTGCATTAACACTCATTATTTTTCTTCGCGAAAATTTGGATCATGGTCACCAAATTCTCAAATCTCGTCTGCTTTGATTTTTGACCATTGCGACAGAAAATCGCTTTTTAATTAGTCAGTAATTGGAATATTTTATTAAATGCTTGAAGTTCAATGTCTTGGAAACTGAGATTTCTACCGTTTAAAATAATCAAGGACCTGCCATATAATTAGAATAAATTTGAGGAAATTAAAAATAATTATAATCCGCCAATTTATAGGTTCTAAGAATTTTTCTATTTTTACAAAATGAGCAATTTTTCGGACAATTATTTATTGCATTTTTATTTCTTTGTTATTTACATGAATGAAAATTCAGCCCACGAGGCACGACGCCTATGGTTTATTTTTCACTAAATTAATTTAATCGAAAAAATGCAAAATATTTATTTACTCCTGGATCAGTATCAAAAAATTAAATACAAATTTTATCATTAATTAAATAAAAT